CTCAAACCAAACTCAATTTTAAAAAAAGTTTGAGTTTGAGTTTGATTTGAAATCAAACCCAAACTCAAACTTGGCAATAGTTTGATTTGATTTGATTTGATAGGAACCCTATATATACGTACTTACATGTTATGCATATCAAATATTTAAGTAGTTTGGCTGACTTCGCTATATGTAGTGCAAAGCCCAATTTATCAAGAAAGTATTCATTAGCTTACTTAGTAAAGTAAAACACAATTTAAAATTTTGAAACCGGTTTTATTTTTTTTAAATTGGTTAAAAAAGTTACGTTTTATCATAAAATTTATTTCACCACTATACATTTTCTATTCGTGCGCTATAAATATAATATCCAAACTGACAATTAGTCAGCACAAAGAGGAAAATAAAAAAAGGTTAGTTTAAACTGATATTTTTATTGTTAATTTCTATTTATTTTATTAAAAATATTATTAATTTATTTAGAACATTTAGAATATGGATAGTTCGTCAGCAGCAGTAAGTTCAGAAATATGTGAACAAGAAGTGGATTATATAGAAATATCAAAAAGAGATTGGCAGAGCAATGAACTTGATAAATATATGCCGCAAGACCCACAAGATAATTACCAGAGTTATGAGCCTAATAAATACAGATCAGAATTCAACTTGGAGGAAGAAGTACCTACTAGTTCTAACTATTACTCAGAATCATCGATCAGTAAGCAAGAAAAATATTCAAATAATAAAAAAAAAAGAGCAGCAGCACCACTTTCAATTTCATATTCTCAGTTATGAAAACAGCCTCCTGACTTTTTTGTAATTGTGATTTAAAAGCAGCATCAGGAACAAGAAATGCATTCGATTTAACATATACATGTAAGAAACAAAGCACAAGGATTTCTGAATATGACAAAACTGATTCGTTTTATTCATATGAACAAGTTTTACCTAAGTGTCAAAAAACTAATGTACAAGATGAATCAGTTAAACAATCAAGCGATACTTCCAAAAGTTCAAAAGTATCTAAATTTGGTAGATTTTTACTTTGTAGCCCTGCTTGGAAGTAGTTTGAAGAGATATATCTTGATAAAGTTCGGCATGGTCAGTGTAATATCGAAATGGCAGATAAAAAGCCCTGTGATGCTAAAGTAAAAACTGGCGATTCTACAACAGCACTATGGAAACACCTTAAAATTGTATATGGATACTCAAAAATGATCGCACAACAAGTAATTTTTTTTTAAATTAGTGCAATCAAAATCTTACTAGTTATATAAAGCTTAATTTTTTTTTTTTAGTTGAACAAAAAACAGACAACTATTACAAGATCATTTGAAACTTTTTTATCAAAGCCACATAGCATTACTGAACAGGCTATTCATAATAAGGCTATAACTAAGGTCGTTATTTTTCAAAATCTTTCATTTATGTTTACGGAAGATAAAATGTTTAAGTGATTTGTGAAAATTGTGGATTCATATTGGGCTGTACCAAGTAGAGGAAAGGTTAAGAGTTTGATTGATAAGGGATTTGAACAAATCTGTTCTTGCCTGCGGGGTGACTTAAACAAAGCTGAAACTGTGTCGTTAACTGCGGATATATGGACAGCGCTTTTGCATAATGGTTATATAGGTATAACAGTAATATGGATTGATGAAATGTTCGAATTAAATGAAGCCATTTTAGCAATTACTTCTCTTAAATATCCGCATACTACTAATGCAATCATAAAATGCATTGAAGATGTTCTTGAATATTGGAACCAAAGAATAAGGTTTACTCAATTACAACTGATAGCGGGGCGAATGTCAAATCAGCATGTAATAAACTTGGTATTAAGTGGATTTCATGTTCTGCGCATATATTGAATCTGATTGTGCAAAAGGGGCTTTTGCCCGCCAAACACTTAATTACTTGGATAAAACGTTTGATCAAATTTTTTACCGTGCCTAAACAAAGCGAATAGTTTGAGATAGTACAAGTATCAATTCAAGCACAACATCAATTGAACAGAGAAAAGGTGAGAGTCCAATTGGTTTGATGAATTTTATTAAATTTTTTATATCTAAACTAAAAAAAAAAATTTATATTTTTAATAATAATTTCAATTTATATACAGAGTGAAAATAATACTCTGATATGGACGCAAAATAATATTGTAACCTGTTGGAACTCTACCTACAATGCATGGGTCCGAATGCTTAAGCTTAAGTCTTACATTGAGATATTTGCAAGTTTGCTTACTGTTCAGCAAGAGAAAGATGCAATCACAGATAGAAAACGTCTAAAAGCAATTATGATAGCCGAGGATGAATAAACCGCAGTTGCTAATATTATTAACATTTTAAAACCTTTTAATAATATAACAAATTATATTTCAGGCAATACATACCCTACTATGAGCATTATTTATCTGACAATGAGCATCCTTCGGAATGCTTTACTAAAAGAATTTAAAGATGAAAATGATTCTACAGACAAACCAACAGATTTTAATAGTTTAATAAATGATCGTATTAATATATTTGATGATGAGAAAATATTGGATGAGGATGAAGATGCAGAAAAATTTGAGTCTCCAGCTATTACAACTGATCTGGTCAAAAGCATTAAAAAAATAATATTAAAGTTATTTGAAAAATATTATAAGGTGAAGTTTTTAGCTTATATTATTATAGCTAATTTGAAAATTAGTGGTACACTTGATAAGTTTTGTAATAATTGTTAGAAGAAGCCAACTGCTACTAAAACATTATTAACGAAAAAAACAACACCGATCTTCTAATGAAAAATGAGAAAGCTAAACTTTGTTTCAACCAAGCCAGATTAGATGAGTTATGAGAAAAGGCTAATAAAAAAAACCTTGATTTTAAAATACAAAAGCTTTAGGGATCATTACAAAATTTATTATGTGCTCCACTAATTTTCAAATTAGCTATAATTGAGAATTCTCTAATTGACCAGTTATTTTGATGATTGGCCTGAGAATTCTCAAATTCCCAAACCGAAATTTTTTTAGACTAGTTTTTATTTTTTAATTTTATTTTTTATTGTTTTTTTAATTTTGAGACTAATGCTTGAAAATTGTTTTTTTTCCTTCCGAACAGTTTTTTGATAACAAAATATTATTTACCACAACGGCAATTGATCCAAGGTGCAAAAAATTTTGAATACAAGAGCGCTTCGTTAGCATGCCAAGATTATCTCAAGTTGGAATATGACCAAATGATAAGTGATGAAGATTTAGAATCATCAACGAACGAAGTAACGCTTGATCTATTTGGATCATTTATATTAACAGTTTTTACAGCAGTTCAAAAAAATTTGATAAACAAAAATGAGGTTTATCAATATCTTATAATGGAAACGATTGGGCCTTTGGATAATCTTCTACAGTGGTGGGCAGCTCACAAAAATACTCTTCCGAAATTGGCAGGTTTTGCTCACAAATACCTTGCAATTCTGGCTACTTTTGTCCCCTGTGAGCACCTTTTTTCACAATGTGGAAACATAATTATTAAAAAAAGAACCCGATTAGCACCACAAATATTCAGTAAATTGGTTTTCTTTCATGCAAACCAAGGAAGGTACGACACAATATTACAAACCAGTTATAAGGTAATTTGACTATTTATCTTATAATTTTAATATTATTTTATATCTACCTTAATACAAGTAAATTTAACAGTATTCAGACAATAATTTAGAAAGAAAATACATAATATATAGTATTATCGTGTATATATATATATAATTTTTTACGAACATGTCATGACTGTTAGATCCCAATTATAGATAGAGCAGTATGTATAATAAATCTGGAATTATATCATCTATATAGATTTGAAAAAAAAATCTACTTTAGTTTGTTAAGTGAAACTCCTTGATTTAATACATAGAATATTCCGGACTAAATAATTATACTGTATATCAAATATGTCTAATAAATATCCGGGGGCTCTGATATATAATATCTTTCTATAATGCCTTAAATTACCAGTTTTACTATTATTTAACCCCATTAAGCCTTATACGATATGTATATTTATTAATAATCTTTAAACTATACGATATATAAATAAAATAAAATTAGAAAAATATTCCAGTAATCTAAAATATTGTATGAAAATGGTAAATAACTTATACAGTATATTCGGATATTAATGGCTAGCAAAAATAGCTAGTGAAATTTGCAAATTTAACAAGCTAATTTTCTTCTGCGAGTTCAATGAGTTTCTCGGTCATCTAAAACATACATATAATTACTCGTTTATTCAAGACATAATAATTAAAATATGTTTGGTAATAAAAAGGACACATTTTTTTAAGGTTAGAGACTAAGGTTAGAGGTTAGTTTTAAAGTAGAGTGCAAATGGGTTTTAAAGGACCTACATTTTATTTTAATCCAATTTCATTAAAAACAGTTAAGACATGATCGATCAAAGAACATGACCAGTGTTATGATCGATAAAGCAACTTGACCAATTAAACCATGTGATCAATCAAAGTAATGACCAGTCAAGATATGGTGATTGATCGAATCAACATAATCGGTCAAGGCATGATGATCGATCAAAGTATCAATCCATTATGCATATAATTGATCAATGATCAATTATTAAAAATTTGATTGATCTCTATCTCTACTATACTTGAGTTCTTGTTAGTACAACAAATAGAAATTAATTGTAGCAAAAAAAGTAGTAATTTTATTTTTTATATAGATGGGTCATAATAAAAGATAGTTTAGGGTGTAAAATAGAAGCAGGTTGGGTTTTGATAAATAGTAGTGAAAGAGAGATGATATGAGAAGGAAAGGTTCAGTTTAGTAGATGGCCATCATCAACAAAAGCTGAGTTAGTAGCAATTTGAATATCATTGTTAACAGTTAAATGCAATAGCGAAGTGGTGATTAAGCTTGATAGTGCAGTAGTAATAGCAAGTTTGTTTAATGCAGTATTGTTAACTGATATGAAATTGTGGAGCAAGAGGCCAAATGTTGACTTGGTGATCAAGATTCTTGTTATCTGCAAGTCAAAAAATATTGCACTTGATCTAGTGAAAGTTAAAGTATACAGTAATATGAGATAAAACGAAAGAGCTGATCAGCTAGCAAAAAAAAAATGCAGTTAGACCAAATTTTGTTTTTACTAGTTGAAAACAACCACTACAAATTATACACAGTGTGTTTAAACAACACATCATTAAAGTTATTTATTTAAAAGATAGCTAAAACACTGTTTGGCCTTAAAACTAATACAAAGTAGAGAAGCTCACATGCTATACAAACATTTGAAAGTAAAAAAGATACCAGCCATGATTGGAAAGCATTATGGCATCAAAATAGAAAAGCAACAGGAAATAGGTGCAAGTAGAAGTATAGCATTTATTTATTTATTTTTTTTTTAAGCGATCCTGCCTTTATTCATGTGAACTGTTATATAATTTTTACACCCATGTG